ATAACATGTTCCTGATTCAGTCTTTTGCAGCCAGTGAAAATAGAGCCCATATGGTTGTGGAAGTTATTGTTGATAATTGCTTTTATATTTATCTGTTTGACATTATGCGAGCATAATTATATTCCCAACCCCAATACCTTCACCACGGTTTAGGATTAAATGGAAATGTCACTTTCTGGTAATTACCGCATTCAAAAGCTTTGTTGGAGTTACTTAACAGATAGGGATCTGCCTTTTGGCCACCCTTGCAATAAGGGGTTCTTAAAAAAAAAAAAAAAAATTCTCTTTCTACTTCAATTCTGTCACTGCATGGGGGCCCAAATAAATGCTTACCTGGTGTCCAATTAATATTATAGATGGCCCTGGGTAAGAGGGAGGCTGAAGAAACTCCACTTGCTGAGAGGTGTGCACAACATTGCAATTTGACCATGTTTTTATAGTAAGTTTATAAACGTTTATTACATACTTTTTCAAAGTTTTTCTCGTGTTATTTTGTTTAGTATATTTGTTTAAACGTGTTTGCTTAAAAAAGTCAAGTCAAGTAATGCATTTCCCTTTGTCTATTTTTATTTTAAAGAGTACCAGCTATAAATCTTGTAAGGTGGAGCAGGGAAGGTAACTCTTTAGGAGTTCCAGTGACACATTTAACTATGTTACAAGACTTTTTCTTAGGTCTTCATGAGTGTTGTAAGCAGCAGCCTAATCACTTTACATAGGAGTCATAATATATTTGTATAAGTGTAGCGGAGAGCAGTAGTAGCAGGGCTTCTTCTCTGCTGGTTACTTCAACAGCTACTCAGGAACAAACAGGAAACTTCAAGACAGCAGGCATAATTACAAGATAATCCACGAATATCCCATCTCCCTTCCCAATAACTGGACGACACTCAGTATTAGGAGAACAGAATATTTAATGGCCAGGCTGGCCTTTTATGCAGGTTTTCCCCCAAAGGTTACCCACCCAGGTGGACCTTGTGGGGCACCTGTAAAATATACAACAACCAATAAACACAGAGTCACTCCCACACATTACACACAATCCCTCTCCTCAGGAGATAGAGTTAATTACTGTATCAACTCAATTATCTCCAGACAAAAAAAAAAAAAAAAATCTACATTTTTATACTTTTCTAGAAACACCCCAAAAACATACACTCATGTTCCTCTCCGTCCCTGTAATGCAAGTAATAAATTCTCCCCCAGTCCTTGTCAGCCAACCTCACTACTCACTGGTTAATCTCTTCCATGCCAGTCCCTTTCAGCCAACCCTTACCCACTATTAACCTACCCCCTTTCAGCCAACCTCCCTACTAACGGTTAACCCCTCCCCTGCCAGCAGCTATCAGCAAGCCAACCAACTTCCCTAGCCAGTGTTGATCCCTCCCCTGCCAGTCCCTGTCATCTAACCTCCCTAGCCAGCGTTGATCCCTCCCCTGCCAGTCCCCGTCATCCAACCTCCCTAGCCAGCATTGATCCCTCCCCTGCCATCTGACCTCCCTAGCCAGTGTTGATCCCTCCCCTGCAAGTCCCATTTAATCAACCTCCCTAGCCAGCGTTGATCCCTCCCCTACCAGTCCCATTTAATTAACCTCCCTAGAGGAAGAGGGAGACACAGACCAGAGAGAACACAAAGCACTATAGGTATTTGAGTTTGTCCGCCTCTTTAGATTTATTTATAAGCATATGACACTATATATATATATATGATACGTGTGGGGAATTATGTGTGTGAGATGTGGTATGGAAGTTCTAGTGTCTGAATGCTGAGCACTCTGAAGAGGCTTGGGCAGGCATTGTCAGCATGTGTTGAGCTGAGTAAGGCGTGTCATTACGGATTCTCATAGAGAATCACTGGAGCATGACCATTGGTAGACAGCCTGGCTTAAATACAGGAAGCAAGGAGGAAGCAAAGGGGGATAATGACATGCAATCAGAGGAGGGAAGAGCAGAAAATCTGAAAAAAAAATTCTCCCTTCCGCTAATAATTAACATACTTCTATCTATAAATACCATCCCTTTGGATTCCACCCTTAACCTTCCCCCATAATTATATTCCATGACAAACTTATTTCATTATTTTTTTTTTGGAGAATCTGATGACTAATCCATTCATATTCCATACTATCATTCATTCCTTTTATTGAGGACAATCTGATCAAAATAAAGATTAAAACAGGGGGAGAAGAATATGCATTTTTTTTTTTTACCTATACAGTTCCTCTAATGTAGCTCCATTTCCAGTGTCAAGGAGAAGGGTGAGTACTTTCTCTGACAGGAAATAGGACTGAACCTCCTCCCGTTAGTCAAAGAAAGTCAAGCATAGGAAAAAATAAATAACACAAGGTAGTCCCTACTTTGTGTTATGTTTTAAAGAAAACTAAATCAGAAATAAAAGAACAGATTCTAAGAGGAAACAATAGAAGAAAGGCAAGTTTGGCATGACAGCACTGCTTTAAGTAGAGGTGGACACTCATAGCACAGGATTACACAGTGGTGTGTGTACTGCCTGACTGTTCTTTAAAGGAACACTCCACACCCTTAAAACACTTTAGCACATTGAAGTGATTTATGGGTGAGGAGTATACCATTTAAAAAGCACTTTATAAAAGTGATTATTTCTATGAGAAAATCTACAGATTTATGATTAAATAATGAATTACCCCAGGTTGCCAGGGATGTTTACTTCCTGCTTCTGTTGGGTCTCCGTGTCAATGTAGGTAGCAGGCGCACTAAACTCATCAACATACTACTCTCAGACCTCATATCAGACCAGCATTCTTTCTAAACCAACCTTCAGAGTCTCATTAATGAGAAGCCTCTGAATCTCTAAGAACTGCAACATTTGCAAGCTCTTTTAAGAAATAACACCAATGACTACCTGCATTAAAAAATCATGCATGTATTTGTTGGGAGTATATCCACTAAATTTATTATATTTACTATTTTGCAGGGTTCCTTTAACGGCAGATTCTGTTATCCAGCTTTTGTTTAAGTGAGTCTGTATTAATGTAGGTACTTTACATGAATCTAGGTAGCACTTCTGCATTCCAGTCATTCTCTATTCCTCCCCAACATTTTGCCCACTGCAAGGACTGAGAGGAAGGATTCCACTTATGTGCAGGCAAAGATAGAATGTGAATATAAAAACGTGGATAATCTTATAAAAGATACCAGTAATAAATTACTCAAAGAGTGGAGAAACATAGGAATTTCCTGGTTGGGAAGAATAAATATCATCAAATCATTTATTCTACCTCATTGGCCATACCCGTTCAGAATGATCCCTTTATCTATAACAATAACTAAACTTAGGCAGATTCATAAGTTATTTCTGAATTACATATGGGATTATAAGAGGTCAAGGATGTCGATCTTACATGTAATGAAAAAGTCCAGTAAGGGTGGGCTGGCTGTCCCAAATCTTATCAAATATTACGAAGCCTCTAGGCTGTACCATCTATGGAGATTGGAGGGCCCAACCACAATAGAAGAGCATTGGTATAAAATGGAATCCTGTGTAATTCAAAAGATCTTTCTAATATGTTATAGATTGACGTTGGGGCTAGTGCAAAATTCATCTCCATACATAAAAGATATCTATGAAATTTGGGTAAAATACAGGAAAAGAAATCACATTTTAAATAAAATTTCTAAGTATAGTCCAATTAAGACAATGGAATATAATATTACCTAAATTTAGGTAATTGGATCAAATTTGGTTCAACTAAAATAGATGATTTATTAGAATTGAATAAAATAAGGTCTTTTTCATATCTTCAGTTAAGTCTTGACCTTAATTCAAGAGTTACTCATACCCAAGAATCTAAAATTATTTGGATAACCATCTGCTTTGTGACAACACTAGGATAAATAAAAAATTAAATTATCGATTTAAAAATAATACTAATCGTAAATCAATATCTAGTTGGTATATATTGAGAGAGAAAGAAAGAAAGAAAAAGAAAATTTCTAAACCAAAAGCCTGGAAAAACTAGGAACAAGAAAGTGGGTCTCCAATCGAGTTAGAGCAGTGGTATAGATCAATTCAAGAAGTTAAAAAAAATCGTTGCATTGTTTAAATATCATAGAGCTCCATTATAAAATTCATCAATGGCATAGGGTACCAAAAATTCTAACTAGAATTAACCCTGATAATTCCAAACTTTGTTGGAGGTGTACTTGTGCTGAAGGTAGCTCTAAACATATCTGGTGGGGATGTAAGCTTTTAAGACCTATATGGAATAAAGCATTTAGAGTTATATCAGATTTAGTGGGAGACGATTTGGAAGATAACTTAATGGTTGCTCTTTCATTTTAATTTAAGAAGATTCTCAACTCAAAATAGATATCTAATAATCCAACTTATGATGGCCATAAAAATAGAAATATCAAGATATTGGCTACAGAAAAACACTCCATCTGGGACCCAATTGCTATCTCAGCTTAAATACCAACACGATATGGAAAGGGGAATTTCTTTTCAATATGATAGCCACTTAAAATTTGATGAGAAATGGTTACCTTGGTTAGATAATCTGATATAACTATATACCTTGTTGCGTTCTCTGTTATGAATATCCTTAAAGATCACTAGTTCTTCCCTATGGTACTGTATTCAGGAAAGTTATGAAGTAACCTAATTATTATAGTTTAGGCCTGCCTAATCCACTCAGTTCTTCTAAATTGTGATATTTGTGTTTGTGTGTGAAGTTTACTCAACAGTTCATATATCCTATTGTAAATCAAAGTCTATATGTCTAATTCTGAACTGTTTTTGTCTGATGTTACACATGTAAAATTTGCAAAAAGATATATATTAAAAAAAAAAAGAAAAAAAAAAAAAGAATGAAATACTATTCATCAGTACGGTTATCCCCTTGGCTACCAGGGATACAAGAGAAACTACAGATTCCCTGGTTTTTAATGATTTAGCCAAGAGAACCAGCAAAGAATGATGCTGTAATAAATTAGGAAATGGCAGCAGAAAACAATATATAAAGTAACATGTTAATCATGGTTTCTAAAACTACCGCATGCAAGACTTTCAAATAAAGAGGAAGCAGACAAAGGTGAAAAGGGGTCAGAGATAAAAGGTTATATTATAGATTTTGAAACACAGACAGCATGGAAATAGGCTATAATACAGACAAAAATATAGTTCAAAGGAGTGTTAATATAGGCTATGAGACCAAGATAAAGACAAGACGGAACAAAAAAAAAAAAAAAAGTTAAACTTTTATCACTGGGGAGATCATTCTGTTCTTTTCCATTACAAAGGAATACCAAATCTAGACAGACACAAAGATGAAAAGAAAACTACTTACCTTTACAGCACCAACCCGATCATCAAAATGAATAAAAGCATAATCTTTAAGCTTCTTGACTCGCTCCAATTTACCAAAGCTGCCAAAAGCTTTTTCTAATATTTCTTCTGTAACTGTATTTGCAAGATTACGCACAAATAAAACCTTAACCTAAAAAGAAAGGACACAATTAAAAAAGTTTCAGTTAAAACTTAACTTTTTTTAAGTTCCATCCTAATTTTTTTTTTGGTGTGCAAAAATAAACACACTGCCAAAGGAATGTCACTCCCAGAGTATTTACGGTGCCACGAGAGGATCATGTCTGTGGGGAGTGTTAGATCACAAATCCTACTACTTTCATTCACTCCAAACAAAAGAGGGTCGATCCGAAGTTATGGTATAAAAACGATCTTTATTTTGCACTTAGAGTTGTGCTCAAAAGTCTGCATCCCTGGCAGAAATTTAGAAAATATGACTTATGAAAAAAAAATAAAAAAAAATGTATTGAAGGATAGTAATCATGTGAAGCTATTTATCATCACAGTTGTCTGGCTCATTTTTAAATCACAGATAATTTTAATTAGGAAAAGGTATGCACACCCAGTCAAATGCTATCAGAGGAAATATCCAAAAACAAAATAAGTCAAAGATAAGACTGGGTGCTCACTCAAAAAAAAAAGTCCTATTCTGCAAGGAACAAATAAATCTACAAATAGTACCCTCAATGAGGAGCACAAACTTAAAAAAAAAAAAAAAGAAAAATGACTTTGTTAAATGGGTATCAGACAATCAAAGCATAAATCACAATCAAATAAAAATATATTATCTATCTATATATGAGAGAGAGATATTCTGCAATATCATCTAAACAGGAATGATGACAAAGACACATAAGTAACAGAATTACTACTAAGTCATAAAGATACCCGGACATAACTCAAATTCATACCAAAAATAGTGAGGAGGGGGAAATGTCAACCAGCAAGCCACCAACGTTTTGGCAGAAAAAATGCCTTTATCAATGTGCATGTTACAAAAGGGTGTGTCATACACTTTTGTAACATGCTCCCTTGATAAGGGCATTTTTTCTGCTGAAACCTTGGGGACTTGCTGGTTGACTTTCCCCCTCTTATTTGTCTTATATGTATTATTTGAATGGTTGGCCTATCTTTATGACTTAGTAGTAATTTTATCACGACAGGAGGCTTCCTATTTTGCATATCTCTCTTTACTAAACTCCACAGCAGTAAAGAAAGTAAACGTATAACCAATCAAAAATGCAATAGGGAGTAAGGTATTCCCACAAAATAGGCTCCTCCATCGCAGACAGGTCAGAGTTTTGAGACACACACACACCTTATGTGTTTTCACTTGATTTATTCCTATCTATTTGTTACTGCAGTTTTCTGACTTCTAGTATTACTGTTTATTGAAACTGCTATATACTTAGCCCTCTTTTAGGGCTGTTTTATGATCTTTTCACTATTTCTTATTTCCGGCCTTTCCTGCCCTTCTTTCACTTTCCGCCTGCGGGCGGACCCGCTTTCCGTTCGACGGTTACCCTGTCGTCCCCCGCCTCCCTAACCCCTTACCGCCACGCACTTTTACCGCCCTCGCGAATTCCCATCCTTCCTCACAGGCACGGCGGCCATTTGCAATCTCGTGTCTCGCGAGATTGCGGCCGCCATTTTAATTTCCTCTGAGTGCCGCAAGGGACACACACTGAACGGCGTTTTTTCCTTGTAGCAGGACTCACCTAGCTTCAGAGCCTGAATTTTTCAGGTCAGTTATTACTGTACAAAGGCACCAGCTCCTGTGCCTGTCTGGGGTGCTGCCCCATTTAACCTGCTGCTTTATTGGAGGTCGTCCTGTGGCCACCTCTGTCACACTGGGTGAGACCCAGCATAATACTAAATCCCAATTTTGTGGAGATTACCCTGTTAGGGTTATTACATTGACACTATCACTGACTGCAATATAGTCTCATCACTGCTAATACCTGTAAGTGGATTACTACATCCTAGACCCTGCTGGGGTCATCATTTACAGTACACCACAGACCCTGCTGGGGTATTATCTGCTTGCGCACCACTGTTCCCTGCTGAGGTCAGCAAAATGCTACTTATACAGTGAAGTACAGTTACACTGACATCTATAACTATATCCATAACTATAATAGTTATTTTACGCCCTGTGCCATTTTAAGTATATCTGATCAGAATATGAAAGCCTCAAAATACAGTGGACTTCCAAAACATGATTAACGAGGCAATAGCAGCCTCCATGGAGAAAGCCCTCTCCAAAATGATGGCCTCTAATACTGAAAAGAGGATACCATCTAAAACCCACCAATCCCGACAATTCAGATTCCGAACCACATAAGAGCCAAGAACCCCCCCACTGGCAAACGCCACTGGAAAGGGGAAAAGGGTAAAACACCGGCTAAGACCTAAGCACTCTATGGTCACTAACTCGACTCCGCTGCTTAACTACTCCTCTGAGGAGGACGACGCACAATCCAAATCCTTGGCCATACTAGATGAGTGGCAAGCTGACGAGTCAGACAAGCAAGATGACCCTTGGGGTACCGATTCTGAGTCTCAACCCAGACTCTTACCACACACACTATCGGGAGACTCCCTAGTACATGACGCTACAGATAACCCGCAGGAAGACGAGGACGCTATCTTTGACCCTAGAAACCTAAGACACCCTCGATCAGGGGACTGGACACCCCCAGACCACCTAGCAAAATTTATGCATCTCTGGCTCAGAAAATCCATGTATAAAACAGTTCGCAACAGGCTACGCTCAGAGTGTCCAAGACCCTCTCTACCAGACCATGTAGCAGAGACACCAGAGTTTGACCAGGTGATGACCACCTTTATGTCCCGTGGGGGCCGTGACCCACGCAAAGGCGTTGAGAAAGGGTTCAGAGCAGTCCAGGACAAACTACTGGATTCAGTGGGACCACTTTCCAGGATCATGTACCTGGCAGATGATGCTCTCACAAAAGCAGACCAATTTGACGCGACCATGGTTCGCAAATGGGCTCACGATGTCCGGGAGTGGGCACAAAGATGCTTTTGCTTTGTGGGTAACACCAATGCCGCCCTCTCATATGAGCGGCGCAAAGCAGCTTTACTCCGTATTGACGGAAAGTTGGTGGAATTGGGCACCAAGGAACTGGGTCCGCTGGCACAGGGCAAACTCTTTGGATACCCTTTCCTCAAAGGCTTAAATAAACATGTAAATATTTTTACTTCTCTGAACAAAGCCCAATCTTCTATGAGGAGAGTGTTTAGACATAACCCCACTAGGGGTGTTTTTGGAAGGGCTGGCCGCCAAAGGGGCCGTGCTGCCATCCGATTTTGGCCTTCAGGCCCCCGCAATGCAAGGCCCCAACCTTTCTACCCCGAAGTGGGATATCGCCAACAGTTTTCCTACACCAGAGGAGCAGACAGAGGCCGGGGACCACGTACCCGAGGTAGAGCACGCTTCTCCACAGGTAATCACCTAATTCATTGCCTTCCCCCTCGTATTGCAGGTCGTATTTCCCTTTTCTTTAAGGAATGGCTAACCATCTCCACGGACAGCTGGATCCGACAGACAGTGCAGAGCTACATTATTGACTTCACGGCCTACCCGCGACAAACGGTCGCTCCATACCCTACCACATGCTCCACAGAAGACACCAAGCTCATTCACAAAGAGCTGCTAGAACTATGAGCGAAAGGCGCAATCGAACCGGCCCACAAGGTTTCTTCAGCAACATATTCTTAGTTAAGAAGAAGACATGGGACTTCCGCCCTGTCATAAACTTAAAAAGACTCAATGAATACGTTACATACAGGCACTTCAAGATGGAAGGCATACACCTCCTAAGAGACCTTTTACAAGACAAAGATTGGTTCACAAGACTGGATCTGAAGGCGCCTATTTTCAGTACCAGTCCACCAGTCCTGTCGACAGTTCCTGCGATTCCACTGGCAGGGCCAACCCTGGCAATTCACATGCCTCCCCTTCGGCCTCAGCTCAGCTCCATGGTGCTTCACCAAATTAATGAAGCCCGTGGTCGCACACCTTCGAGCACAGGGAATTCGGTGCATTATCTACCTGGACAACCTCCTGCTGCTCTGCTCCGAAAGGTCCAGATTGATACAGCACACAAGCTATGCCACGGACCTCCTATCATCTCTAGGATTCGTAGTGAACTCTGACAAATCGGCCATGGCACCATCTCAAACAGTACAATTCCTGGGATTCGAGAGACTCCACCACAAGCACCTTACGGCTACCGGCGTCAAAGATCTTGAACATTCGCAAGGAACTGCGCAAGACCATTCGAGCCAACACCATTCCACTCCGCGCCCTCGCTCGAATAGTGGAACTCCTCTCAGCATCTATACAAGCTATCTTCCCGGGCCCACTTCACTACAGAGCGATGCAACGCCTCAAAGCATTTTTCCTCAGACAAAATCCATCTTACGACCAACCGATCTCAGTAACGAAAGAAGTCAGACGAACTCGGTTGGTGGCTAGACAGCATGGAACGGTCGGGCCGTCTTCGGGAGCACGCCTGACATAGTCCTGGAATCAGACGCCATTCTATTCCTTCCATTTTGAACTACCTAACCCACCTATTTTCAACAGGACGATCCTACAGATCAATTAATGTGGTCTGTTCCGCTATCTCAGCGGCTCACATCCCTATCATTGGGATCCCAGTGTGTAAAGACACACTGATATGACGACTTCTCAGGGGCATTCGCCTGCAACGACCCCCTGAACCTAAATATTCACGACTCTGGGATGTCGAGATAGTCCTACGCTTCCTGAGGGAATGGCCGTCCAATGACAGTTTCGCTGAGAGTTGTCGAAGTGAAAGTCTAACGATCCTGCTCTGCCTGGTATCCTTCCGCAGGGTATCGGACGTCCGGGCATTTGACAGATGCATTCTCGGTCTCCCCGGAGGGAGTCACATTCCACATATCCCGTCGCACGAAATCAGACTCAACAGTTTTCTACCCCTTCAACTCAGATCCACAACTCTGCGTCGTAGCCACCCTACGACGCTATGTAGAAGTTACACTCGCAATTCGGACATCACCTTCGGGACAACTCCTCGTGTCATATGTTCGACCACACGTCCCCATCACTACCACTACGCTTGCCAGATGGGTCCGCTGGATACTCTCACTCGCAGGCGTGGACGTTTCCTTCGGGGCCCACTCGGTACGAGGGGCAGCAGCATCCTCAGCCTTCGCAGCAAGGGCCTCATTAGTGGACATCCTACGTTCCGTGGACTGGTCGAGAGAATCTACGTTTCGCACTTTACTTTCATCCGAACTCTAACGCGGCCATGTCACTCCTACTTCTGCGTTAAAAATGCAAAATAGGAAGCCTCCTGTCATGTGATAAAATTGAAGATTATGCTAGCGTCAGTGTACCTATAATCTTAATTTTAATAATGACAGGAGGCGAGTATTTCCCCTCCCGGGGAAGAGGGAACAGTTACTCTTTAGATTGTTAAATTTTCCATCATCCTTATCTCATATCTGTCTCTACACTACTCCTTCGTCCAGGGACAGTATCGGTTATATCTGATTCTATCATCACGCATATGTTGCTAATATCATTGCTGGGTCACGATAATTGTAACAACTAGTAAGAGGCCAGAATCTAACCCATTTCACACTCATTTCAGTTTAACTTCATCAGCTTCTGGAATTTCGGGCACTACATTGGCAAACTACCCAGACGACTACTTTCTAGGAGGACTGCCTAATGTTGGACATTCACCCGTTGATGTTGGTTACAGTTGATCAGTATACCTATGGCTGTCCACCGTTGTTCCTTCCGGAAGTCCTTGGATGATTTTTTTCTATGTTCGATATTTACCTTTTCTCTGTTACGATGTCGCTTATGAAAGGAGAAGGAGGAGCCTATTTTGTGGGAATACCTTACTCCCTATTGCAATTTTGATTGGTTAAACGTTTACTTTCTTTACTGCTGTGGAGTTTAGTAAAGAGAGATATGCAAAATACTCACCACCTGTCATTAAAATTAAGATTATAGATACACTGACGCTAGCATAATCTTCAATTCTGTTACTTATGAACCGGTCATCATTCCTGTTTGGATGCAATTGCAAAATTTCTTGCAATTTCTTGTACTATTATGTGATTTATGCTTTGATTGTCTGATGTGCATTTTGAGATACCTGCTTTTGTGAACCTATTTAATAAAGAGTCTTTATTTTTATGGTTGTGCTCCTCATTGAGTAGTATTTGTTTTTTTAAATCATAACAAATCACCCAAATGTTTTTGTTTGAACAGGTAGGGAGAAGACCTGTCCATTACCTGCACTGAACCAGAAAGGGGAGTAACGGTGTGTACTTGGCAGAAAGATTACCTTTGCCATGACCTCAGGATCTGGATCTTCAATTGGATCAGCCCATTCCACTGTTACAACATTGCCCCATACTTTTACTTTGCCACTCATAAGCCTGCGTCTAGCCTGAGCAGCAGTTTTATGATCTTCATATTCAAGAAAGCAAAATCCTCTATTCTTTTTCTTGTCATCAGGTTGATGGTATAATATGACATCAGTAAGTCCCTCTGAAAAGAAGACATAAGGTAAACCAGAAGCACCTAAATCCAAGTTATATTATATAAACATTTCTTTATTAGTCTGTAGTACATTACACTGATTAATCCTTACATTTTGCATTTATACTAGAAAGTGGTGTCTAATTGATCCAGGTGCAAAATGGTGCCAGTTTTGTGAAGTTTCATTTAGAGTCTATTTTTCTTATGTATGTTACACTGTTAAAGAAAAACTTCAGACACCCAAAGCACTTGCTTGTGTGTTTTAGGGATTAAATGATTGTCCATCTTTCCAACAAAAATACATACAGATTAAAAGGAAATCAGCACTTGTATAAAGACACTAGACTGCACCCTCCTCCTGGCGATCAGACAAATGGAAGGATAATTCTCAATTCCTCAAAGCAGATGTGATACTTCTCATAAAGAAGTATTGTTTCAATACTGCACATTAGCCCTGCCTCCCAATGCTTCTCTAACAGAAGTACTGGTCTGGCCACGAGTATATCAATATTGATGACCAGGAGGCAGAGCAGAGATGCAAATTTATATCTTGTCTAGAATTAAGTTACAGCTTTATTTATTTAACCCCTTAGTGACCAGACTGCTTTTCAATTTAACCGTTTGGGACCAGGGCTGTTTTTATATTTCTAAATTTGTGTTAAGTTGTAATTTTCCTCTTACTCATTTACTGTACCCACACAATATATACTGTTTTGCTTCCCATTAAATTGTCTTTCTAAAGATACCATTATTTTCATCATCTCATAATTTACTATAATATTTTGTTAATAAAATAAAAAAAAATAAAAAACCCACACACCTTTTCTAACTTTGACCCCAATATCTGTTACGTATCTACAACCAAAGAACACTAGTGCTAAATAGTTTCTATATTTTGTCCTGAGTTTAGAAATACCAAACGTTAACACATTCTTAGCTTTTCTTTTGTTGCAAGTTATAGGGCAATAATTACAAGTAGCACTTTGCTATTTCCAAACCATTCCCCCCCAAAATTAATGCAAGTTACTTGTAACACTGATATCTGTCAGGAATCCCTGAATGACCCATCACATGTATATATTATTTAAAAGAAGACAACCCAAGGCATTAAACTTGAGGTATTTTGACTCTTCATTCAACCATTTTACCAACATTCTATGCCAAATGGGAAAAAAAAAAAATAGTTGATTTTTGACACACAGCAATTTAAGAATACATGTATTAAGGAACTTTAAGGGCTACTGCCAAAGAACACCCAAATATGTGTTCAACAGCATCTCCTGAGTACAGTGATATTCATGTATAGGAGTATGGGGTTCTCTGGGGGCTAAAAGACCTTATTTGGAGGGTGCGCATTCCAGTTTTCCAACTTGGAATTTTCACAGCTGGTCATCATGCACCCATGTCCTATTTAGGACATTTTTGAAGCTGGCCAATCTAATTTACCCCCCTCAAATATATTTTTAAAACGAAGACACCCTAGGGCAGTCATGTCCAAAGTCCAGCAAGCGTTCCGGTTTAATACGGCCCCACAGGTTATTGGCTAATCCTATCTGTTGTGGCCCCCAGTGAATCCCTGAACCGACTTTTTCATATTACTATAGGTCTCATATAGGGACCTTACATACCTACTTCTAATATGCGCATCACGGCTTTTGATGCCACAACCATAAATTATAGTTAAAGCATTTTAGAATATATATTATACATATATAATTTCATTATAAGTGTACTTTGAGATTTGTATATCTCTTAAATTACACATATAATGAAATCATATGTACAATATATTATAAAATTCCTTCCCCACACTTTTTAGCAGCCTGGAGGACTGACAGCTGAGACAGTCCGCCTGCTGGCAGCTCCATAGACTCCTATTGCAGTGATGTGATCATGGTGATCAGAGGGCCAGAGCTGCTGCAGAGCCTGAGATCAGGAAAGTGGGGATTTACCAGGTACGTCCAAGGTCGTTAACTACCACTTTTTGTCGGAGGCCGGGAATGGGTACAAGGGGGGGCCTATAACCTAAACGTCATAACCGGCATTATTACAAATGTAAAAAAAAAAGTTTATTTAGAATTCTGGACTGTTTAAGTATCTTAAAATATCTGTCACTAAGTTGTATTAAAAGTGCTCCCAAATAAATGCAATATCAATGTTAGCTTAAAGCGGCACGGTCACAGTTTTGGTACTTTGACGAATTAGCAAAGTTCCCTGACTGACATCGCTGCAAGGGGTCTGGTGGCCAAGAGTGGCAGGTAAAAGTGAATTTACTTAACTGAACCTGACCTTTGTGGGCACCGCCATCTTGGTCCAGCGTGGACCTCCTCAGCACAGAAGTCACTGCTGTTCTCTCACACATGCCAGAAAGAACAGCCCTGAAGCATATGGAGGATTCTGTGACATCCTCCATAGACCCAGCCAATTTGCTGCAGCCATCAATGATCAAGGCTACAGGGATTGACACTTTGGCTCCGTGTCAAGAAAAGTCAGAGATGAAATACAGAGACAAAGTAGTCCCTATATCTCTTTAGACTGTGTTAACACAAGATGGCAATTTCCGGTTCCATTATCAAGCCTCACAGCTCGCCAGCCCCGTGCTCTCCCACACTCCCCCTGTCCATCCCTGTACACGGTGCCGGCCACGGTCCGAGAGAGACAATTACCGCAGCAGTCGCCGCCATCTTGGATCCACGTGTCGCTGCTGACTTCACTGAAGTGACCAGTCCTTGCTACCTCGGCTTATCACCATGGAGACAGGCAGAGGCTGAAAGCCATTAAATGCTTCCTCCCCCGGTCCATGGATCTCCCTGACCTGTCCCTCCAACATTACATGATCATTCCTTCCCTGGTCCATAGGAGTGACGGCACGGGGACAGCAGCTCATTATATAAACCCGCCTCATTCCTCCCTACGTGTATTGTTATCCCTCAGACTACTGGTACTTGGAAATATGCACAGTAGCATCCCAATGCATTGCTCCCTATAGCATTGCTTTAATACTTTCCTACTGAAACTTTCTGGATGTCTTTATGCAGAGCTGTCTGACAGCCAGTAGAGGCAGTCTGACTCCTGCAATACAACTACTGCAGTTTCAGGAAAATGGCAATGGTTTACATTTCAGGACTTCGTGGGATACAGGCACCGCACCCAGAAACCTCAATGAGATGAAGTGATCTGGACGACTATGGTGTCCCTTTAATTGTATAAGATTAGGAAAACCACAAACCTATATTTTGATTGTATACCGGCTTGTTGCCTCAACATACACATGTATTAAACATTCTTAAAAAAGAGACACTACAGTGACCACAACAACTACAGCTTACTGTAGTTTTCTGGCATGTATAGTAGGTTACTGCAGGCATTTCAAAGAAAAAGCAGTGTTCACATTGCTGCCTAGGAACACCTCCAGTAGCAGTCACTTAGACGGCCACTAGATGCACTTCATGCGTTAGAGCTTAACAATTTGCTGCAACGACATTCAGCGTCTTCATGTTGTGCATGGAGGCGATGAACTTTCCCCATAGAGATGCATCGATTCAATGCATCATCATGAATAGATGCAGAGTTGCGCCGTGCATGCACACTAGCCTCTCAGTGCTTACTTATTTGAAAGCATTGTAATGACAGATTGCATACTGGTTTAGATAATCAGAATTGACAGAGCCAGTCCAACAAGGTGCCAGAGTATTGGAGAGTTTTTACTCCATTAAAGAGTGGCCAGGATCAAAGTAGTGTTTTTAGCGCTATAGGAAGAGGAATGCAGGTTTATATCCCTGCCCATACATAGTTTAAGTTAAAGGTTGTTTTTTTAATTACAAATTGGAAAAAATAAATAATAGACATGTTACCTGTAACTTTGCTAAATTCCTCCACAATTTGCTCCTTTGTTTTACTTTTTGGAATAGAACCAACAAAGAGTCTATTATTGGCAACAGAGATGCACACACCAATGTGTTTTCCAGAACGGATTTCATGGTTATTATACTAGGAAGAGAAGGAGAAAAATAAATAAAAATAGAGTAAGCAACAGGAGGGATTCTTTGCATTTTAAACTGAAAGTGGAGTGTATTTGTGCCCCATTCATTAATGTATATTGTGTTTTTGTTTGGCGATTTCAGAAAGGTTTTCCCCATTTTGCTCATATCGAGACTTGTATTTATGAAGAGGCTAATTTGTATATTTGACCAAGTATCAGAAAAGAAGTGGAGCCAAACAATGTATTTGAGGGGAAAAAAAAGCCAGTGTGAGATAAAACAGTTTTCTGATTTATACTATCACTCAGTAAGCACCAACCTACTAGCCAGGCTAAATTTTTTCACAACCACTTGTTGAGTCACAGCATGTGCAAATTGAGCATACACGACACGTTTGTCAGTTATTCTGTTTCTCAGGTAGACAGTGCTTTAATACAAAATTTTAGGGGATGTTTCTCAAATAAATATCTGACATTTGCATCACATTTTGTGTTGCCTGTTCCTTTATTACCTGCACCGAGAACAATGGTATAGTTTGGTATAGAGTACAATGGTGGTAAGTGAGGGAGAACTTGAATGCAGTGTGGTCTGTTGCAAATGCTTTAATACCTCCCTACCAATTTAAAATCTAGAAGGGAGACCGTTAACAGGCAAGGAAGACAAAGCGGATGACAAATTAAAAAAAAGACACTTAAAAGTCTGACAAACATTAAACATGATAGTTACAGGAATACAAACATGTTTTCCTGTCACTAAAGCTGTAAACATAGTTTAGGCACTAGACCCCCCTGTAACCAGTGTAAAAGGAGGAGATTTTACAGCAGCCGTGCAGGTTTGGCACAGCTGGCTCCGCCCCATCTCCATTAAGCTGTAGTTCTGGTGACAATAGTGTTCTTTAAAGGGTCAGAAAGAGTGCAGAGTTTAGAGGGACATATGGTGTTAAAAAGTTGCAGAGGTTTGTGAAATAGTTAATCGCAGGAATACTCCAAACCCAACAACACACTGTAGTGATTATGGCGCCAGGAATGCAGTTATCCTGCTAGTTTTTTTTAAGCCAATGAGCTAAGCCACATGCTGCCAGGCTTAGTGTAGAGTGATTCAGTCTTCAGAAAGGCTCGAAGAGTCTGATTTTTGAAGGTCTTAATGAGAAAAGGCCTTTGGCGCCCATCTAAGAGCCACTAGAAAAGTGTTCTCTGACAAATGTAAACACTGCCGATTGTCAAAAAAAAAAAAAAAATAGCAAGGTTTTCGAATGCCCGATTAATTAACAAAGGGCATAAAACATTGATAGGAAAAATTTTGTTTGTATGCTGCATACTAAGAGTAGAACAACGTATTGGTAGAATTACTTCACACACAATCGAACACAAAATGCTTGATGGCAGATCCGTAACCCCTCACCAACCCTTTGATCACTGAATAGGAAAGTAGGAAGACACTGCTCCTTCAGGACAGAAGAAATGTCACAATATAAGGAAGAGCAGCATGATAAATCTATATACAGAGAAAGTATTCAGCTACTGGGCATATAAACTGTAAGGTATATTCTACACTTACAAGGACTGAATGCCCAATCACACAAAGAAAATTTTGAATCCTGGCGATAAGGTGATTGCATACCAGACATTTTCCTCAATCTTAAAAAAAAAAAAAAAATATAGAATGGAACTTCACGGTCTAAATATTTGTATCCAGACTTAAACACTTACCAATTTAACCGCTTCTTGTGCAGCTTCTTTTGTACAGAAAGTCACAAAAGCATATCCTCTATTCAAACCAGTCAAAGGGTCCATCATTAAACGAAGGTCCCAAATTGATCCAGCTTTCTCAAATAATGGGACAAGCTCATCTTCAAAGAGGTCTCTTGGAACCTTACCTACAAATATCTGTATAAAAATAATCTGGTATTAAATTAAACATAAAACAGACAAAAAAATAAAAGTGAAGACAATGTGTACAGAATTATAAAATGAAATAACTTTGCAAATTGCTCAAAGTTTCTCACCTCAGTGCCAACAGAAGGCTGGTGACCTGTATGGACAGATTCTGGAGGTGGACCTCCATACTTCCTTTGACCAGTTGTCACATCAAGAGTGTAGCCTGTTCTTTCTAGAAGTGCCTAAAATGTGTAGCAACACGATAAAGACTTATTGCACATGTGACAAGAAACTGTAAAGGTTATTTACTAAAGTGAGAATTGTCAGGAATTTTAGGTGAATTTCTGTCTATGACCAAAGTAGCCAAACTGCAAACATAGCTGAGAATTTTCAGTTCAGCTATTTAATCTTTAAAATTTAAAAACTCACTAAATGCAACAATTCTCTTTTGTGAATAGCCTTGTGTGTTTACAATGATTAGAGATCACTCTAGGGTGAAATTTTCAACAACACAGAAGGGCATAATCCACAGATTTAAAATGACACTCCAAGCACAATAACTACGATAGCTTAAAAGAAAAATAGCATCAGGAATCCTAATATGTATTCAAAATGTGATGGAACCCTAGTCACTGTTTAGGTGACCAGGACTCGGTTGACAGTGTTAAAAAGATTAATTTTGTTACCTTTTCTACCTTATCTGGCGTACTGCTCCGCTTCTTTGGCGGAGATCATTGAGATCGATTATCTCAGCCAACAAAATGCTTGCCCACACAAGAGACTAGTCTGCAAGCCAGGAAAAATGCTTTGCCAATCAGATGGTATCTATGAGACCATTTGATTGAAGTAGTGGAGTTTTACGCCACTATTTTGGTGGAGATTTCTATGTTTCTGCAGAATGGCAATGTTTTTAGCTGCAGGGTTAAAACAGGGGGAATGGTGATTAAGTGGTCTGGGTGAGTATAGTGAGTGCTATAAACTAATGTGTGAAAAACATATTTTATGTCAAACTGTTTTTGAATTGTTTGAGAAAATTCTTAGGTTATCCTAGTGTCAAAAGTCCACCGCTTGATTTTCAATAACAGAATAAGGAAAATCTGTCCAAGTTCTTAATTATTGCAATTATGAACTTTTCACATCAGAATGTCCCAGAGCACAGATAAAGGAGATACAGCATATACCTGATCTGCAGCATCCTCAACTTGATCATAAGCACTGCATTAATCTATAGTAATTATTCCCTTTAGGACCGTGGACGTACTGAAGGCAGAGACAGTCCCCCCTCTGAAAGAGTGATCGCATGGCCGCAATAGGCATCCATAGTGCTGCCTGCAGGAGGACTGCCTAAACAGGCAGTCTCCCTGCTACTGTTAAAATAAAAAAAGTTTACCAAGTGTATTTTTAATTAGATAGAGAAATATCTCTATCTATATCAGGACTATGCATATGATATTCGAGAACAGCTACAAGATTATAATGGCTACCGACTCCTTCAAGATGATCCAACAAAATGGATACAGAACAAAATTAAGGATACACTTGATATGGGCCTGTTGGCAGGTTATATTGATCAAGACTTCTACCAGTACACGTATAAACAAAATCCACGTACTCCTATTATTTACAGCATCCCAAAAAAAAAATCAATAAAAGAGCCACAAGACCACCGGGATGTCCAATTGTGTCTGCAATTGAGAGAGCCAATAGCCAAATGGCTGGACCACATTTTAATTGACCACGTCCCTCAACCAAGAAGAGGTGGTGATAGGCGCAAAATGCTGCTCAACAGGGAAGCCTACTGGATACATGTATTGGGGACTAAGTGAGACTATACCTCATCAGTCATTTCTCTAAATATGCTCCAGTCGGTTTTGAAGATTATTGTTTTTATAATTCACTATACAGCGTTCAGTTTTAATGCTTGAAGAGATAGAGAAAATAGAGATATATATAGATATATCTATCTATATATATATCTCTATCATCAGTATCATTTTAATATAGACACTACTTGCACTTTAACCACTTTATCTAAACTTATACAATGTATATGATTGCACTTTACATAATTAGGATGCAAGTCTACATCCGATCACTATTTTTTCACCATGTAGTACTTATTAGCACTAAGGCACTTTATCCAAAATAACATAAGATTGATAACAGACAGTATATGCACTTTATTATCATTGAATTATACACAAGTATGTAGACTCCTTTCACTTTAAGAGCGGTTATTAAGCTCATCTGTGGATCCAGAGAATGATGCTATAACATTAAAGGGAAACTCCAGTGCCATGAAAACAATCCGTTTTCCTGGCACTGCAGGTCCCCTCTCCCTTCCACCCCCCAAACCCCGGTTGCTGAAGGGGTGAAAACCCCTTCAGTAACTTACCTGAGGCAACGAGGATGTCCCTCCTCTGCATTGCGTTGGCCGAGAATGATACCGCCCACTGGCCGGGGAGACCTAATGCGCATGTGCGGCAATGCCGCGCATGCGCATTAGCGCTCCCCATAGGAAAGCATTGGAAATGCATTCCTATGGGGAAATGAGCGACACTGGAGGTCCTCACACAATAATAATCTGTGCTATGATCCAGGAAGTGCCCTCTAGTGGCTGTCTAGTAGACAGCCACTAGAGGTGGAGTTAACCCTGCAAGGCAATTATTGCAGTTTATAAAAAACTGCAATAATTACACTTGCAGGGTTAAGAGTAGTGGGAGTTGGCACCCAGACCACTCCAATGGGCAAAAGCGGTCTGGGTGCCTGGGGTGTCCCTTTAATACAACAAAATGTTGCTTGGTCACTTCTTTTCTAATTATTTTTAATGTCCATGAGTGTAAATATTTCCCCTATAGTACTACAGAAAGCCGATCGTTGTTTATAAGCTGGCATGGTGACATAGTGGCATCCTGCATCGCCATGGTAACGGAATAGACTGCTAAACGTCATCACGGCCGCCAGCTGGTGGAGCATGTTCACGCATGCGCGGTGCACACGGGGAGACGCCGGGAGTGATGCATGATAGCTGGGGTGAGTCAATTATTCTATTTGTGCAATATATTACAGCAGTTTGTTATGTGTATGCATTGTATGTTTTGAACCTGATTAAAAAGTCCCAGGAGGGACTGAAACGTAAATTATTTTTTGATTCAATAAATATTTGAAATGTTAAAGACAAGAGTGCAGCCAACTCCGGTCTTAACTTTCATTTACCTTACAGATAAAAATTGCCAACGTTTCTGCTTGATTCCCTAAAGCTTTCGAAACGTTAGCAATTTTTATCTGTAAGGTAAATGAAAGTAAAATTTTATTAAGTCCTGGGAGTGCTATCCTTTGAAATCTATTTTTGGCTGAAAAGCACTGGGCATTGGTAGATAGATATTTTAAGTAAATAAAAATCATACACACACACACACACACACACACACACACTTGCAAGAAAAATTATGTGAACCCTTTGGAATGATATGGATTTCTGCACAAATTGGTCATAAAATGTGATCTAATCATCAAAGTCACAACATTAGACAATCACAGTCTGCTTAAACTAATAACACACAAAGAATGAAATGTTGCCATGTTTTTATTGAACACACCATGTAAACATTCACAGTGCAGGTGGAAAAAAGTGTGTGAACCCCTAGACTAATGACATCTCCAAGAACGAATTGGAGTGAGGGGTGGGGGTGTGTATCTATCTCAATACACTTAGAATAAAAATATATATTATATATATATATATATATTTAAATTATCTGTTCAGATGTATAATATTACATAGTTAAGTAATTTATTGATTACAATTTGAGAGACATGCCTGACAACCCAGACCAAAAGTCTAGAGAATTTAATTTGCTAGCACTGTATTTAACCCTGTAACTTTCCATGACACCCTAAAACCTGTACATGGAGGGGTACTGTTTTACTCGGGAGACTTCACTGAACACATATTAGTATTTCAAAACAGTAAAACATATCACAGCGATGATAGTCAGTGAAAGTGACTTAATACACAAACAGCACTTTCACTGATTATAGCATTGTTGTGTTAAGATTTACAGTTTTGAAACACTAACATTTGTGTTCAGCGAAGTCTCCCAAGTTTAACAGGTTAACAGTACAGGTTTTATTGTGTTATTTAAAGTTATAGGGTCAAATATAATGCTTTATTTTCCATTTTTTCACATTGAAATTTGCCAGATTGGTTATGTTGCCTTTGAGAGCGTATGGTAGCCTTGGAATGAGAATTACCCCAATGATGGCATACCATTTGCAAAAGAAAACAACCCAAGGTATTGCAAATGGGGTATGTTCAGTCTTTTTAGTAGCCACGTAATCACAAACACTGGCCAAAGTTAGCGTTCAGAATTGTTTTTGGCTTTAACACACAAATATAAATGCTAACTTTGGCCAGTGTTTGTGACTGTACGTATGAGGTGTGATTCAGAGATTTGACAGATAACAGTGTTACGTCACTTGATAATATATATATATATATATATATATATATATATATATATATATATATATATATATATACACATATATATATACACATATATACATACACACACACACACACACACATATTTTGAAACAGCAATGTCCTACTTATACTTCTAGCCCTATAACTTTCTAACCTCAGGACAAAATTTACAAACTATTTATCATGGGTGTTTTTTGGCGGTTGTAGATGTGGAACAGATTTTGGGCGGTCAAAGTTAGAAAATGTGCTTTTTAAAAAATGTTATATTTTATAATTTGTTTATAGTAAATTATATGATGAAAATAATGGTATCTTTAGAAAGACCATTTAATGGCGAGAACAACGGTATATAATATGCGTGGGTACAGTAAATGAGTAAGAGGAAAATTAAACACAAACACCAGGGTCCCGTCAAGCTATGGTAAAGGAATTCTGATTTACAATGTATGGAAACCTTTTTGGAGATGGTGTATTAAAAATAAGCCAATCTTTTACCATCTGAGAGCTAGGCTTGTAGAAGAAGATTGAGGATGGGGCATGGGAAAATTGTATCTGGCTACCACAAATTAATGGCAATGTAAGAGGGGGGGGGGGGAGAAGAGGGAATTGGGGGTACACCCAGAATATGCATTTCTCAGCAATGGTGTAGCTGTTGATACCAAAGTGTATACAAAATTGAGATTAAGGAACAGCGTGCGCACACAGAAAGTTACATTTTACAAGGCTTCTTCAAATCACCAATCAGCAAATATGTGGATTCAGTTCCACCATATGGCCATATCGTGTCAACCCCACCACTACTTCATAATATACAAATATCAATGTGTCCTACACGAATTCTAACGTGGGAGACAAAATTAAACAGTGCTTGTGGTAAATAAGCTACAGTGTATTTACATCTGTTCTAAGAGAATTGTGAATATATACACACACACACACACAGTATATACTCGAGTATAAGTATCAGAAGTTTTAAATTCCTAGCATTAAGCTATTCTCTCTCCAAACATGCAAAGCTCAGCAGTATCTATTAGAATGTGGTTCACATTTGTCAGGTTATTCTGGACTCTAAAGCATGCCCAGACACAGAGAAAAGGACAATAGGTCAAACACAGTAATCAGAACTTTTACCAATTAACTGGTTACAGTTGGATTCCAACTGTTTAATGTATTGCTTAAACTGTACATGCAGTTATAACACTCCGGATTAACCTATGTATATGCCTGACATATGCCAAAGCCAATAAGCGTAACATTCCATTTTTGCATAGGTTTCCAGGAGGCAAGGTTTTATGGAGAGCATAGCATTTGGTCCTTAAGGGCCATAAAACATTATTACGGCAGCATTTTCTTAAACAAAAATATTTTAATTTCCAGACATGCCAAAATGCATAAGTTTGTATTATTTAGTGGATAATGCATTCAACAATTTGTGATCAGTATGGTCTGTTAAAATGGCAAATATCTCAAATATGTGTAATTTATCATATGGATTTGTGTGTAGCTAAATTGGCTTCTTAGAAGGAAACCGAAGTATGGTTTATTTAAGATATCTTACATTTTATCCAGAAACACGTTTTGGTATCACAAACAGACCTCATGCACAGTAATGCATGAGGTCTGGCTTATGCAATGTATGATCATATAATGTAACTAAACCCCCATTATTTTTGCCTAGATTAGGTGTTTTAAAAAAAAAAAAAAACTAATAAAATCTTTCAACTTTGAAGTTGCTGTTTAGTGGATAGGTGAGTGCGCTGGATCTTGTGTTTTGCAGTAATGCAAACAGATATTGCTAAAACCAATACAAAAATTTGCAAGAATATGGTACATTGTACAGCGCTACAGAATTTGCTAGCGCCATATAAATAATAAAAAGTATGATCATATACTGTAACTAAAACCCCATTCTTTTTTCCTAGATGAGGTTTTTAAATAAAATTACTACATTCTGTAAAACGTATATATACATACACACAATTTGTACTAAATAAAATATTTAATCAGTGGATTATGAAATGTGTAAATTCTGTAATCAATCACAAAATAGTTATATTATAATGAATACCTTTATTTTAGATTCATCGGGTCCTTTACTAGAATCTGCTACCTTGGTCCCTTGTTTCTCTCTTTGCCTGTAGGTCTTCATGACGCCACATAAAAAGGCACTTTTGTTCTAAAGTAGAAGGGCAGAGGAGCAATGATGACAATGAACTGTACTTAAATAAAAAAAGTTTTCCTGCGCACATGCTCTGCAAAGATTGTCAACACACAAAAAAAAAATATTTTTTTTATAAATTAAACTTTGGTTTGTTCGAGACGTTTCTACATGATGGGATAATTAAGTGATAACACCCATGCAGTCTAAGACAATTAAAAACAAATACCTGTACATGAGACAGATCGCTGTCCTTGAACTGCAGAAGCACTGCTAGTGCACCTTCTTCATTAAACTCCTTTAAAGCTTCGATAGCTCGTTCATCTAAATCACTATGTGCCACTAAACCTAGAGGGAAAAAAAAATATATACATATATATATATTTCGAGATAAAATATTTTAAAAAAACAAGTGAGACATTGCACATTTCGCTGATTTTAGCACAAAAAAACTCAGTGGTGCAAAAATACTTTTACATTTCTTTATAGTTAATTTTCTTCTACTTTGCTGCCAAAACATGTACATTAGTCAGCCTCCAGCATTGCTGTACACAGAACATGTATGCATATAGCACTGCTGAAAGTGGCACAGGGGCACAACTGAATATAATAATGTATCCATACACAAGCAGGCATAAGCTAGTTTGCAGCATCATGGGATGGCAAAATTTGAAGATGAGGTAAGCTTTTACAACCTTCACTGTTTCATTCACCTCACTAAACCATGTAACATTTACTGGTGTGAGGCAGTGAAGAACTGTCACTTTTCTAAATCATTACAAACAGTGGGACACTATAAGATAGTATAACCAGCACTGATTTCCACTGGGTAGGAGTGTCTACAAAACAAAATGTAATTCTCAAAACGTAAATGCAGCATATACCGGTACATGAGTTTTGGTAACAGTACATGGGTTTCATATGATAATACAAGTCTCTAAAACAAGTTGTTGAGGAGCCAACTCGTAAAGAGGCCATACTAGATTTAGTGTTAACAAATGGAGATTTAGTATCAGATGTTACTGTAGGTGAAAGTTTAGGATCCAGTGATCATGAGTCAGTGTGGTTTAATATAAGAACAGTGACTGAGTCACACCACACAAAAACAAAAGTTTTAGACTTTAGAAAAACAGACTTTTCTAAAATTAGAATATGGGTAGAGGAGTCATTATCAGACTGGAGCAATTTAAATGGAGTCCAAGAAAAAATGGGATTATTTAAAAGTTGCACTATTGAAGGCAACAGAAAATTGCATTAGGCTTGTCAGTAAAAGCAAAAAATTCAAGAAACCACTGTGGTACTCCGCAGATGTGGCCAAAATAGTTAAAAACAAAAAGTTAGCATTTAGGAATTATAAAAAACCCAGAGTGAGGGAGACAAAATGATCTATAAGATTAGGCAGAAAGAGGCTAAGCAAGTTATAAGAGCTTCCAAATCACACACAGAAGAGAAAATAGCACAGACAGTAAAAAAGGGGGATAAAACATTTTTTAGATACATAAATGAGAAAAGAAAAGTAAAACAAGGATTAGTTAGATTAAAAACAAAAGAAGGAAGGTATGTAGAAGAGGATAAAGGTCAGGCTGACTGCCTCAATGAATATTTTTGTTCTGTATTTACAGAAGAAAATGAAGGAAAGGGACCTCAGTTGAGAAAAAGGATAAATGAGTCATTTATTACACGTGAGTTTACAGAGGAAGAGGTTCTATTTCAACTGTCAAAAGTAAAGACAAATAAGTCAATGGGACCTGATGGAATACACCCAAAGCTATTAAAAGAGCTTAGTGGTGTACTAGCAAAACCATTAACAGATTTATTTAACCAATCATTGTTAACAGGAGTAGTCCCAGAAGATTGGAAGTTAGCGAATGTTGTGCCCATTTACAAGAAAGGTAATAGGGAGGAGTCGGGCAACTATAGGCCAGTAAGCCTTACTTCAGTAGTGGGGAAAGTGATGGAAACCATGTTAAAGGATAGGATTGATGAGCATCTAAAAACACATGGATTTCAAGATCAGAGACAACATGGGTTTACTTCAGGGAGATCATGCCAAACTAATCTTATTGATTTTTTTGATTGGGTAACTAAAATTATAGATCAGGGTGGTGCAGTAGACATTGCTTACCTAGATTTCAGTAAGGCTTTTGACACTGTTGCACATAGAAGGCTTATCAATAAACTGCAATCTTTAAGTTTGGATTCCAATATTGTTGAATGGGTAAGGCAGTGGCTGAGTGACAGGCAACAGAGGGTTGTAGTTAATGGAATATATTCGAAGCTTGGACTTGTCACCAGTGGGGTACCTCAGGGATCTGTACTTGGACCCATTCTCTTTAATATTTTTATTAGTGATATTGCAGAAGGTCTTGATGGTAAGGTATGTCTTTTTGCTGATGATACTAAGATATGTAACAGGGTTGATGTTCCAGGAGGGATAAGCCAAATGACAAATGATTTAGGTAAACTAGAAAAATGGTCAGAATTGTGGCAACTGACATTTAATGTGGATAAGTGCAAGATAATGCATCTTGGACGTAAAAACCCAAGGGCAGAGTACAGAATATTTGATAGAGTTCTAACCTCAACATCTGAGGAAAGGGATTTAGGGGTGATTATTTCTGATGACTTAAAGGTAGGCAGACAATGTAATAGAGCAGCAGGAAATGCTAGCAGAATGCTTGGTTGTATAGGGAGAGGTATTAGCAGTAGAAAGAGGGAAGTGCTCATGCCATTATACAGAACACTGGTGAGACCTCACTTGGAGTATTGTACACAGTACTGGAGACCGTATCTTCAGAAGGATATTGATACCTTAGAGAGGGTTCAGAGAAGGGCTACTAAACTGGTTCATGGATTGCGGGATAAAACTTACCAGGAAAGGTTAAAGGATCTTAACATGTATAGCTTGGAGGAAAGACGAGACAGGGGGGATATGATAGAAACATTTAAATATATAAAGGGAATCAACACAGTAAAGGAGGAGACTATATTTAAAAGAAGAAAAACTACCACAACAAGAGGACATAGTCTTAAATTAGAGGGACAAAGGTTTAAAAATAATATCAGGAAGTATTACTTTACTGAGAGGGTAGTGGATGCATGGAATAGCCTTCCAGCTGAAGTGGTAGAGGTTAACACAGTAAAGGAGTTTAAGCATGCATGGGATAGGCATAAGGCTATCCTAACCATAAGATAAGGCTAGGGACTAATGAAAGTTTTTAGAAAATTGGGCAGACTAGATGGGCCGAATGGTTCTTATCTGCCGTCACATTCTATGTTTCTATGTTTCTATGTTTCTACAAGTTAAACAGTGACTCGCCATATAGTATAAAGTGTCAGTTAGAACCTGTGTTCTGTAGATGGTTATACCATTACATTTTAATACAGAATTACTTTACCGAAACGAAGGGGACCAAAAAAAATAAAAATAAATAAAAGTAGCCAAAGAGATACTGTTTTACACTTTATTTTTAAATACATTTTAGTTAATAGATACATTAAATGTCTAGAGTGCAAAAAGTAAATAGTACATTACCACTGTAACATGAGGGATCATCATATAGATGATTAAAGGACCACTCTAGGCACCCAGACCACTTCAGCTTAATGAAGTGGTCTGGGTGCCAGGTCCAGCTAGGGTTAACCCATTTTTTTAATAAACATAGCAGTTTCAGAGAAACTGCTATGTTTATAATGGGTTAAGCCTTCCCCCTAATTCCTCTAGTGGCTGTCTCATTGACAGCCACTAGAGGCGCTTGCGTGCTTCTCACTGTGATTTTTCACAGTGAGAGCACGCCAGCGTCCATAGGAAAACATTGTAAATGCTTTCCTATGCGACCGGCTGAATGCACGCGCAGCTCTTGCCGCGCGTGCGCATTCAGCCGACGGGGCGGAACGGAGGAGGAGAGCTCTCTGCCCAGCGCTGGAAAAAGGTAAGTTTAACACCTTTCCCCCTTCCAGAGCCGGGCGGGAGGGGGACCCTGAGGGTGGGGGCACCCTCTGGGCACTATAGTGCTAGGAAAAACGAGTATGTTTTCCTGGCACTATAGTGGTCCTTTAACAAGATATCTGATTTTGCTAGCAAATTAAAAGCTTTCCTCCAAGCATCATAACCACTACAGCCTGCTGTAATGGATATGACATTAGGAGTATCCTGGCTCGGATTCCTTGTAATGGAGCAGATGATTTGCACTCTTACGTGGGTCTTTGTATAACTTAGATGATCCTATATGACTGATGATGGCATTCAACTTCTGTAGGGCTACATGCACAGAATTGACTTTAGCCTGCCTGGAACTTTGTTCCAAGCTGGTTAATAAAACACCAATGTCACTGCTAGAAGTTGAGTTACATCGCAGTAGAGGGATTAAACCCAGTATGTACAGCTTTGCATAGCTAAACTTCAAAAAAAACTAAAGTGCTCACGGTGCTTAAAGAAACCTTTTAAGAAATACAGAATTTGAGTTGTGAAACTTTTTCTCCTAATTTAAAATTTAAAGGGACACTATAGTCACCAGAACAACTACAGCTTAATGTAGTTGATAATGTAATAGAGCAGCAGGAAATGCAAGCAGAATGCTTGGTTGTATAGGGAGAGGTATTAGCAGTAGAAAGAGGGAAGTGCTCATGCCATTGTACAGAACACTGGTGAGACCTCACTTGGAGTATTGTACACAGTACTGGAGACCGTATCTTCAGAAGGATATTGATACCTTAGAGGGTTCAGAGAAGGGCTACTAAACTGGTTCATGGATTGCGGGATAAAACTTACCAAGGAAAGGTTAAAGAATCTTAACATGTATAGCTTGGAGGAAAGACGAGACGGGGGGATATGATAGAAACATTTAAATATATAAAGGGAATCAACACAGTAAAGGAGACTATATTTAAAAGAAGAAAAACTACCATAACAAGAAGATTTAGTCTTAAATTAGAGGGACAAAGGTTTAAATAATATCAGGAAGTATTACTTTACTGAGAGGGTAGTGGATACATGGAATAGCCTTCCGGCTGAAGTGGTAGAAGTTAACACTGTAAAGGAGTTTAAGCATGCGTGGGATAGGCATAAGGCTATCCTAACTATAAGATAAGGCTAGGGACTAATGAAAGTATTTAGAAAATTGGGCAGACTACATGGGCCGAATGGTTCTCATCTGCCGTCACATTTTATGTTTCTATGTAATGAGTATAATGGGCATTTTCACATACAGTTTTTTTTTTTTTTCAGAGAACAGGCAGTGTTTACATTGTCCCTCGGGACACCTCCAGATGGCCACTGGAGTGGCTTCCTGACTCAGGGCTTCACAGTAAGCAGCCCTGCCGTTCAGCGTCCCCACGCTCTTCATGCAGACGCAGAAATTTCCTCATAGAGATGCATTGATTCAATGCATATCTATGAGGTGGTCCTGATTGGCCAAAACGGCATTTGATCACACGATTATTTTAGCCAATGCTATGGGAAAGCATTGGATTGGCTATAAATCTGCCATTTTGATTGTCACAAAGACGGCAGAGCCAGCACCAGCAGACCCGTGCAACGCTGTAAATAAGGTGAGTTTTAAACTTTTATAGGGGGGTGGGG